GGGGGGGGGGGCGATGATAGGGAGGAAGGGCGAAGGGAAAAGTTTCAGGGTGATAACGCTTTACGTGTGTCTGCATGATGGTTCCACCTGCAGGGAGACGTTATACCCATCTTTGGAGAACAATAAGCGGGTTGCTGGCAACAGAGAAGGCAGAGGCACAATTCTCAATTCCCCTGAAATTCTTTGCTGCTCAGTATACGGGGCCTGCAACACAATCTCCGGCACGTGCGCCTCGCGCGGCGCGGGGCAGCTTGGAGGAGGCCGGAGGCCGGACACCTGTAACGAACTTGGCGACAGAAGCGCCCGCCCCGCCGCCCGCCGCCCGCGGGAGGTTAATAAGGAAGGGTATTCCGCTGAAAGGAGACCGGAACCTGAAAAAGAAAAGTGCAAAATCGTATCTGTTCCTAAGGTCCGAAACTCCGTCTGACAGACCTTTGCTTTCAAGGTGCAGCCTTAAAATTTATGGTTGGTATTCCAAACCGCTCCAAACCTTGCGTATTAGATGAAAATTCCAAGGCTTTCCGTTGAAAGCAGAGGGTTTTTCAGTCATAATCTGGGAATTCAAGGGCATTGATTGAAGTCATCTACCCGTCCTTGAAATTCATGAAATGAAATGAAGACCTCGAATTTCAATAAAAGCTTCTGACCGTGTTTGCTCATCCTCTCCTCTGCGTCCGCGGCCGCCACTGCTCCGCGTGCTCCGCCACCCACACCGTCCACACCGCCACGCACCGCTCCACCTGTACCTCCCGCGGGCCTCCTGTCTCTGCAGTCGTGGAGGGAGGCGGCCTAACGATGGCCCAGTTCTCGCATTACGGAAACAAGTCTGTGAGCCTCTGCTGCCCCGCGCCGCCCCTCTCTGCCCACACACAGCAGAGGCTGCACTGCACACCGTCGTCGTGGACTCGCCGCGCGCTCCTCTGCGACGCGACGGGTTGTGTATGCCCGCGGGGTCCAGTTGTTGCGAGACAGGAGCGGGCGCAGCTCGAGGCCCGATCTCAGGGCGGGAAATTTGAATCCGCGCGCGCTTGCCCTCACCGTAGTAGACCAGGATAGGAATCTGGACGCGCGGCTGCCGGGCCGCCGGGCCGGGGGGAAGCGTGCGACGGGTGTTGGTTGTGGTATCGACCGGACCGCACGACGGGTACCGTCTTCCCGGACGCATCCGAAAGGTGCCGTCTTCGTCGTCGTCGACTTTGGCGACCATCTCTTCAGAGACCTCTCCTCCTCTCTACCGGGGAAGCAGAAGAAGCGTTTGGCAGAATGGAGACGTACTGCTGCTGGGGGAGGGGTGGGCAAGGGGAAAAGGGGGGGGGGCGCAGGCACACACGAGCGAGAGAGACGGAGGTGTCGGTCAAGCAGCAGAGACGAGAGAGAAGATTGATGCCTGTTAATGATACTAGTGGCTGGCTTGATAGATTTATAGCGGCGTAATACCTGTATTTATACTCTCTCCCTTACACGCACACACTCGCTCACTCACTCACACTCGCCAGCATGGATACATGCATACGCGCGCGCGTACACACGCACACAGACACACGCATGCACCTCGAATTCACGCTTGGAAGCAGACAGCCCGCTCAAGCGCGCGGCGCACACGTTGGCTTGCTGGCTTGCGGTCCATGAGAGCGAGCGAGGTGTCACTCTGCAAATCCAGTGAATGGAAAATGTCAAGAAGTTTGACTCTTCTCAGATAATTAAAATATAAATTACCTGGAGTAGCTGCAAGATGAACTAACTAGAGAGCTAGAGTGGGTGGGGGGAGGGGGGGGTAGAAAATTATGTGCCGGGTAAAACCCTGGAAACACCCATGGGGTGAAGTGTTGCGACTTCTCCTGGAAAGGTTCTAGAGCCTACAGATCTACTGCAGACTATGCTTGGACGGTCAAGTGCAAAAGTATACTTCAAACATTCACTTAAAATCTCTAAAATCGGCTCGTTGGTTTTCTCGGTGTATACCTCACGATTGTCCATACCAGCGCTCCCGCTCTGACCTGACAGTCGAGGAGGTCGCGGTTGCGGCGGGTGTGGCTCGCGGGGAGATTGGCGCGATAGAAATGATAACAAACGTTGAGATTTTATAAAGCGAGATCCCTTCGTAATCGGATCACACACGGCTTATGTCCCCTCCCCGGGCCCGGGAGCCAGGTCCAGTAGGGGCTAAAGTAGAAATTGGAGGCGGGCCGGAGGTTCTAAGTCGCCACACAACACCGCGGCCGGAGGGGGCAGAGCCTTTTCGCGGTTATTTAAGCGCGATAAAAAAGTAAGGGTAATTAAAACCCTCCTTATGGTCTGCGATGTCGAACCGTCACGCCCTGTTTGACTATACAGCCAGCGGGAGCGCGAAAAACGACTATTCCTGCCGCGCGTTCCAAAGAGAAGAAGGAGAAAGGAAAACAACGTGGAGAGACACCCAACCACACGGTATAACTTAAATCATACGCAGCGTGTCGCTATATCCCTCTCCAAAATAAATGGCCACTGGCACTTGAAAGAATGAATCGCATAAATAAAATGCCCCTTTTCAAATTCTGCCTCGGGGGTATAGCACCACCACACTGCCTGCAGCAGCAGCAGCAGCCGCCGCGCGGAGGCAACCGGAGGGCTGACCGGCCAGCTCAGCAGCTCCGCTCAGCTCCGCGATGAAAAGTGGCGGTCGCAAGATTGTGCAGAGAGATAACGTCCCTGCATTGAGTGGCCGTCACATTAGGCAATGATAACTCCACCGTGGCGTGCGGAATCATGTTTCAGCGCGGCGAGGAGGAGGAGGAGAAGGGGAGGGGATCTAGCGAGGCGTGGCGTGGCGCGGCGCGGGGCAGGGTGGCGACGAGCAGAACAGGGTCGAGAGCTGCGAACTCGGAAAGGGTTGCCGTCGGAGCCGTCACGGTGTGCTCTTTGGGGTAGCGCGCCGCTCGCCTCGTACTGTACCGGGGGTGCAAACGGCACAGCACGCCTAAAGGGGATGAGGAGGAGAGAGAGAGAGAGAGATAGTAATTGGGCAGCGCTGGGCCTGGGCTGTGCTGCTGGGCGCTCCCCCGCCGCGCGGCACCCGTCACCCGTAGGGACTCCCGCAGGGTGCCCAGGTGAGTGTGGGAGAGGGAGCGCGAGAGAGAACGGGAGAGGGAGAGGAGAGGCCTCCCAGAGTAAGTAAGTGAACACCCTCCACTCCACCCCCGCCCGCTCAGCGCCCGCTGGGCGGGACAGCTGCCGCGCTGGCTGCAGTTCCGTTCGTTATTACTGTATGTTTTTGCTTTCTCCAACTCCCCTGGCTCCCGCTCCCGGGTGGATGT